CACCAAAGCCTTAAAATAACGTATACGTGATAAAACGAGTATTCGTGCATCGAAAGACAGGCAAACAAATAAACTGACAGAGAGAAAAATAGACAGGCAGCCAGGCACACAAATGATAGGCAAACAGACAAACTGCCACGTAAGCACGAAGACAAACTAAGGGTTGTCAAGTAAAAGTGCCCGCTTCATCTTTATTTACTCGTTTAATATCACCGATTCTCACTAGATCACGCCTTGATTTATCAACTCACACACATAAATTATGAAAGTATGACCTCATCTACTTATTCATTCATCTGTTACGTAATACATACAATGCATGCATTTGCCTGTCTATATGCCTGCGTTAGTTTGTATTAATCTTCGTAAATTTCTTGATGGAATATACTCATGTAGTAAATTAGAAAGGTATTGTGGTTGATGAACTTGGTGGTGCATAGACAATTTTTGTCAAATGTAACTCAAGCAGAGAGTTCCGAAGACGTGGGGTGTAATTTAGTGTAAAATAAAGACGCTCTTCTCTCAAATTTTCGATACCTGGTGTGCCCTGTTACATTCGATTTTTTTTTTAGATTAAACGATTTTAAAATCCACATCTGTGTGTTGAGATCGAAAATGCTGCAAGATTATATGGAAAAACATTAAAATTTCGCATTTAAAACAGAGCATTGCGATTTTACATTGTATGCGAACTTTCATGGGGTGACACTGAAGCCTCATCAGCACCGGTGTTACTCTCGATCAGAATGGCTTCTTCGATATTAACACGGCAGTCTGGCTTCTGAATCACTACAGCCAAGCAATAGCCTCCAGTGGAGGGTTCTAAGCAGTAAAATCAGAAACATGTTTTAGCTAATCCAGCAAAACTATGACAATCTTTAAAATGACGTCATAATTGCGTTTTAAAACATGAAAGTAGGCCTACTATCTAAGAATGGGCAAAATTGTGACTTAAATTTGTAACAACTATAGTGTCGCTTACAATTACAATACTAGGAAATAATAACGGCACTGAAGTAGATAGACAGATAGACAGATAGATAGATGGGTAGATGGATGGATAGATAGAGCGAATACAAGGTAACCACCTACAGGTAAGCTTATTTGGACTACACTCACCGACATAACCAAGCATCCCTCCTTCTACACATGCAAGGCTTATTATAGATCTGCGGATACGTTGCAACTCTTGTGTCTGTAATCGGGATAGAGTTTGCCTTGCCTTCAACTCTCAGCAACACTGTCGCTGAGTAGAGTCTAGATTTTAGGTCTACTGAAAGCCGTAAACGACAAAGGGAATCAAACGAAAGTCTTAGATCACATAGAATCTACATCTAACGATTCACGTAGATCTAGAATATTGTACTACCAATCAATTTATACAGAAATTCACAGGTTTTTAGGTCCGCTTCTCAGAGTATACTATAATTCATACACTGGTAAACTGTTGTTAAGC